CTTTTGATGGAGTTTGATTTACCGTGCTTCGGGCGTTCGGTGTGTGGGTGAGGATGTGTATGCAAGTGGGCAAGGATGGATGGAGGATGGAGGGATGCAAGCAAGCGAGCAGTAAGGTAAGAAGGCAGGCAGGCATCAAGTGGGTACTAGATTTCATACCGGTCTGCCTATGGATTGAGATTTTTGGATGCTATCTATGCTACGCGTTTACTTGACAGGCATGAGGATGGTCTGGTTATGGTGGCTGAGGCGGGAAGCAGGGAGGACATGTCATGGGTAGGTAAAGGAAGGTAAGGATGAGAGATGCGAGGAGCATGATCATGATCAGGACAACATAATGGGATTGTTTGTCTGGCTTCCCCTGCTCCGGGGAGTGGTTTGATCCGTGAACTGTTGGTCGACTACTTCGGAGGGATGGTGGGAAGATGGGAATGGACTGGCTTGTGCATTTTCTGCACACGGTATATCGAGGGGTATAGTTTACCCCAAGGATACTTGCTTCCCTATGCTACCGCGGTTCAATATACAGTACAACCCCATCACCTCTACGGTAGTTCTTGCCAGAGAAGATGAATTCTTCCACTGTACGCCACCATCAATCATCGCATTACTACACCCTCCCCATCCCCAGCAGAGCCCACCAAAAGAGACCGAGCGATGACAGAGAACCAAACAACCTCGGACTACCTGCATCATCAACCTCATTTTCCAACTTCTCCCAACACAGGCAACCCCTCAACATCCCAAAGACAGGATGGAATACAAACAAGAACTCCCCTCTAACTAAACTAAACTAACCTACATCAGGCGAATCCCCCAGCCAGCTCCGCACGACAACCGTTTGATCCCAAATTCCACGCTTTCGCAACAAGATCACCACCAGCTACCAAGAAAGCAAACAGCGGAAGATGAAAAGAAAAAAAAAACCGCACGATCTAGTCTAGCTGACAACGAACCCTCGCAAACAATATCCTCCCCCCCTCCCGGTTTCTGAAATGCCTAACGGTATACCGGTGCAGTAGAAAATCAGGATATGATGATCGGCATTCATCACGCAGAAAGACGAGCGAGGCAACCGCAACACAATCTGCAGTCGTGAGGACATCATCCCCCCCCCCTTACTGTCAGTATGGAGTGACCGGTTTCAAATGGAGGTTTGGTTTGGCAATAATCTCGCTCGTCGAGGAATTGCGGGATTCGTTGCTTCGTTCTGCGGGGGATGTTTGTTTCCTTCCGCTCTTGCTTCAAATGCTTCTCAGCTCATCGTCGGAGGATATCAAGCTATGGAGACTGTCCCGCGAGAGGCTGGAGAGCAGAGGCCGAGAAGGAAGAGGGATGTCCCAAATGCGTCTATCTGGAAATCAGACAACGGGCTCATTGCTGCTCTGAGATTATACTTCATTCGGCAATACTCTCCATCCAATTGATCTACTACCGAGACACTATAACTGACAGATAAGATTCAACTATACCGGGGTCGTGATGGGTGAGTGGTCGCTCTGATGCTTCCATTCCCCATTTCCGTTCGTTTCGCACTCGATTCATTGGCTTGCAATCAAACCACACTGCTTATCACCTACCCAAGACATCCTCTGGCTGTCGTCCGATCCTCCCGTGTCAGATCAGGGATAGGAGATGATGGTGGCGGCCACTTTCGGGCATCGTCTAGACACCAAAAAAATGCGAAGGGAATGAGACAGGGTGGCTGAGGTGAAAACCCCTGGTCCCCTGTCTTCCCGTCGAGTCCCTGTTGCTTCAACCCTCGTACGAGGGTCAGACCTCAACTCAAGCGACAGGTTCATCCAATAGTTCGGTAAGGAGATGCCAGATCGGTCGGCTACCCTGCCCACATCAGAAAATTGGGGTCTGCCGGAATCATGTTTGATTCTGCGCAAACGCTGGGCAGAGATTCTAAACTGCACCGGTAATATACTATAGACAAACATGAGACATGCATGGCGTCGTTAAAAAGTAAATGTATATACTGTAGGAATGCCACCCAGGGAAAGGATCGTCCTGATCACCTGCAGAAGAAACCAAGGCCAATCCTCTGTCTTCCACCAGAACTCAAATCCAACCATGCTGCACGACACCAACAATCATAGCCACATGTACAAGTCAACTCTGCTCACCAGGCGCTCTTCGGCTGACCGGATTCGGTCGGCTGTAGCACAAGGTATCGGATACCCACGATTTGGGTGTTGGTCTCCCTGAGCACGCGCAGCAGCATAGCCAGTCAGCAACATAGTCGGGTAGCACAGTGTCACCATGGCTTGCACATAGTCAGAAGACCAGATGGCATCTGTCCTCCGTCGACCGCCGAGGATATTTGGCAGAAGCTTTTCCATTCCTGGGCTCTCCTCAAATTATAGCACCGTAGGACGGTACACTGCATGCGGTAGACCCAGTTGGCATTGAGATAGTCTCAATTGCTTGATCGCCCCAGCGCACTCGTACAGACAGCTAATGCACCTTCTGTAATAGTCGAATCATGAACCGCCCTTCTTGTCCAGAGCCTTGTCGTTACGCATTCTGTTGTCGTTCGCGACGATCGTGTCGCTCCTGATTGGTACTGAGATAAGATCACATGGCCATCGGAGATATCATTATACAGAGACCAGCAAGAAGAGAAAGCGAATCTCGAATGAGGAAATCTTCCGACTGGTACCCAGTTCACGCCGCTGCTCTGGCGGGATCCGCCGGGGCTTTCGGGATGGACTTAGACTCAGATGATGCTTCAATGGCCAACGGCGATTCATCCGAGCCATCATCTTCATCGTCACTCGAAGAGTCGACCTTGCGTCCGCGGCGACGGTCTTCCTCGCGACGTCGACGTTTTTCTTGAATATACTCATGGTAACGAGCATCTAGCTAGTTGTCAGTATGCAGACTCTTCTCCGAACCAAGGTTCTTGGCACATACCTCGAATCTCCTGCGTTTTGACGGCGTACGCTTGAATCTCTTCCTTGCTCAGGACACGCAAAACAATCACATATTCAGAACGTTCCTCAAAACGTTCGCGGCCGAGCTCCAAGGCAGCAGGGTTGACCAGTCGCCTATCAATTTTTGTCCACCTAGCACCTGGAGGAATGCCCTTTTTGTGAGCATCTTTCAGAGGTGCCACGCCTTCTCGCACAGGGTTTGGCTCTTCGGGAAATTTGGCACGTGGCGGCTTCAGGATACCCTTGGGGGCAGGGGGATCCTGATCCTTCGCGGCTGCCGATTCATGCTTCTTCAACTCATCAGGGGAACTGAGCCTTTCCTGCTTGGTACCATCCTTGGCCGATGTGTCCTCTGTACGACGTCTCGACTGTGATCGAGGACGAGGAGCACGATTCACAGTCAGGTACTGAGATACCCGGTCGCTGCTGCTCGCTGAGGCGTCAGAGCCATCTCGCCTTCTATGTGCCGAAGGTTCGCGTCGGTATTTCTTTAAGTCCTCGTCGGATGTATATGAATCGGAGTCGCTCTCGTCACGACGTCGGGACCGTCGTCTCCGGGATCGACTATGGTGTCGCCTGTTTTCGTCCTCACGACCCACGTCACGGGAACGATGGTGTTCGGTCCGAGGAGAAAGCCCATAATCAAAGTCATCAGGGTATCCTAGAACAGCGGTTCCCAGTCCAGTGCTCGTCCCGGAGATGACTGAAGCCTTAGATGAGGACTTCCGTGATGAACGATCGTCACGAGAGTACCGATCGTCATCATGTCGTCGATGCCGGCGACGACGGTGACGATGATCTTCGTGCTCCGACCGGTAAGAAGAGTAACCCTCATCAACGTCCTGGTGCAAGGAAACAGGGACTCTTTGAAGTGACCGCCGTCGAGCGTTCGAGCTCTCTGCATCGCTGTCAGCTGAACCATAGGTTGAGCGGCGCACACGGCCCCCTTGGTCAATGCGATCAAACCCTCTCTGTGATGGAGGCGGTCCCAGTGCCCGAGATTCTTTTCTCGATTGCAATTGAGGGTCATCCGGGCCAGTCAAGCTGAGGGGTCTATCCCTGTGATAAGCACGCTGATCACGGCGCATTCTGGCAGCAGAGTCCTTCTCAAATTGTTCACGAGGGTTCGTGTAGGAATAGGCATCATAATCATCAATGTCTTCTCCTTTTCGAAGACCCCCGGTCGGCGGATAACGCCAGCGAGGGCTGTGTTCATAGGCCGGGTAGGCATTGTGAGGGATCCGTGCCATGGCCATCTTGTCCGTCAGGTCTAGACGGCCAGTATCACTTGCATAATCGGTGCTGGAAGGATGATGACGTCGGTGGTGTCTGTGCGAAGATGCGGGAACCACGTAGCGGTCTTGGGCTCGCTGCGGGCTTGGAGACCGGTGATGACTCGGAATTATCACGGGAGATGCCCTGGAGAGAGGGGATCCAGAGGCATCATATCGACCGGGAGCGTACTGGATTTCGACAGCGGAGGCGGTATTGCTCCTCTGCCTTGGGCGGATAGCGTACTCAGTCCTCAATTTGGTCGAGTGGCCGGGGTCACGGTACGTTGTCGAGGAGATCGGTTGTGCCTCCAATCGCGGCTCTCGCGCATATCGTGAATCGTAGGATGGGATGTAGTTGACATCGGGGTGATAGCCTGAGTGTGCAGAGCGATTGGTGAGATCGTATGGATCGTAGGAAGAACTGAGCTGCACAGTGCCGGTGGAGGCGCGCATGGGATCCATCATACGCGAGCCGTTGGGAGACATGGGCCGGTAACGCACAGCGGGACCCATATTCTGTACCCTTGCAGACAGCAACAAACGAGATCCGACCGGGAGAACGTAGCAGATGGATGACAATGTAGGGGGTCACAAAAACTCTGTGACGTCCTGAAGGATAAATTGGGAGCAATCGGAGAGGTAGAAATCACTGCCGGAAAAATAGAAACACGGAAACGAAAAAGAAAGGTTGGTGGATTGGGAAGAGAAAGAAAAAAAAGGTTATTTTGGGCACCAGGCCAGAAAGCTATAGAAGATGACGATAAAAGCCCGAAGGGCGAAAAGATCTCCGGATAAGAACACAGCACCCGACAAGCTCGATAGCACCAGAGACAGAGAAGGAAAAACTCAAGTCAATTGAGCTTGATGCCTGAAGCCACAGGCCACCAGACCGAGGACCGGGAGGGCGGGCAACACCTAATATATGAAAGGCTGGCAAGCACGGACTGATGAAACTGGGAAATTTGACAGTGGATCAAGGGGGAGGGGTTGAGAATGACTGAGGGGTCAGTCTAGGAGACAAGAAATTGATCAGAATGAAATGAAGATTTGAAGCAGAAGAGCACTGCTTACAGCAAAGCACAGAGACCCGGAGACCCTGGAGCTGTGATCGTCACCCGTTTGAGAATGGAAGAAGGTGTGACGCAAGACACTGGAGAAGTCTCCAGTGCACACAAATCAGAGGAAGATTGATACCAATCCACTTTCACCAAGACACACTCCATACGAGAGCGGATATGAACGGAATCCCCACTTGCGAACAAGTGCAGAGAGTGTACGGAGTAGACCACGCGAGTTTGCGATTGTCTGATCAAGAAGAGGCTGGCGCGAGAAGAGTGAAGATGAGTTGAAGAATGAGAAAGACGTCCAAGTTCTTTCAAGGTTATACTATCTGGTAAGGCAAGTGGTCGAATATACGAGAGGGAGGAACAATGGAAAGATGATGGATGATGGAGGGAAGCAAGCAAGCAATGCCTGCTTGAGTAAGCCGAAAGAAGAACTCAATGGAGAGAGAACCCGGCCTGACAAGCCTAAGGCAGCCACAGCCAGGAATAGTGGGAAATCTGGTGAAAAATGGCAGGCAGGAAAACGTGCAGCCAACCACGGTTGACTCTCGGCTCTCCCGCCACGGTCCGTGATTGGTTTGAACCAAGTTTACGCTTACTTCATCCACGGGCCATACATTCAACCTTCCGTCCATTGACAATTTGACATTGGATGGAGTCAATGGACTGTTCAACTGTCTTGGACTCTTGGTTTTTCTTGGTCATTTCCAGGCCTCTCCAGGCTCTCTCTTTCGCTGTCTGTCTCGTCCTAGTGGAGACTATCCAATTTCTCTTACACTCATGGAATTGTTCTTCCCTAACCGAGAACAATAGGACCTTCGAGTCCCCATACACACAAGACTACTGTATCAAATCCCCCACTATCCGCAATTCCACCCCTCCCCCCCCCCCCTTTCCCTCCCCTCTTTCTTTCTGCTTTTTTTTCACCAACTAGGGGTAGATGGGACACTAATACACTAAGCTATGGTAGAGTTATTCTCAAGTCGATTCTCAAGATTCGAATCCAACCCAACCCTACTCCCATTTCCAGTCCTCGTGGCCCGGCTAATTACCCGGTGCCGTTACCCACCACGTTACGACTCGCCAAGCAAGGAGAGCGGATGACATCACGCCGAACAAGTTTGAGGCCGTCGGCATGTTGCTCATGGCCCCATTTCGGAGCCGACCACCATCAGCCCGAGTAACATTAAAGGGCTGTGAATGGTCCGAATTCATACCAGTGGGGTATGGCGGGCTTTCTAGAAGGACAGGAAGGCGACCAGTCTGAAGCAGTCCAGTCCAGCGCTCACAGCCTCGCAAGCAAGCCCCCCCCCCCCGCCCGCCTCTAGACTGGGCTGAACGCCCACCACTAACACTGGGTACCGTCGATCCAGGGGGCGGTGCTCGATCACAGTTGCTCAATGGATCTTGCTTGCAGTCTATCTGTGTCAACTGCGGACCTCTATGTACACCCGGATCCGCCCCGCGGGTCTTCTCGAACACTGACATTGGTCTTCTCGAACACTGACATTGGTCTTCGAAGACCCAAGAACCGGGAACGCTGTGCCCTGCAGTGGCCCCGGTCGCAGACGGTGCTGTGTCGGCCTCGTGGCAGGCCCGAAGAGTCGGCCCTCGAAAGGCCCTGGCCGGGTTCTGCTGTCAAGCGAGTGACCAGGAGAGCCTTCACATGTCTTGGGCAAATTTTGCCCTTTCTGAAACAACGGCGACCTTCTGCTCTGGTCAAGAGATGGCCCTTGCTACTGCTATTACCCACCTCCGCCGCTTCATGAATTGCTTCACGAGCCGGCCCGAGTGCGCGATTTACGTTGCGTGCCTCAGTGTCTATTTTCAACCTACTAACCGAGATGACTGGAGTCTATCCTTACATGTCCTTGTCCCCGCCACATCGCAAGAAAGCATCCCGAAACGAATGTGACACGGGAGGGAGGACTGTACTGAAACAAGTCCTAGTAAGTCATCCCGGTGAGATCTTCGTTGCACGGAATCTTAAATTATGATAATCTATCATCACGGGGTTTTAAATCAACCCCCCTCCTTCTCCCCTTGAATTCCTTATTTCCTCCATGTTTCTGAAGATATCTCTCTGAGATACAGCGTGCGCATCTCTTTCTCGAGTGATCCTGCTAAGAAAGCTGAGCTGTCAGGTACCATGCTTGGAATTTATGTACAGCTGACCGTTCCGAGGCCAATCACGGCAAGAACAGAGGAGACTCATCTGTCACCACAAGGCTGATACATTGCCTGCCCTACCGGCCTGAATTCTGCAGGCTTAAACCTACCGCATTGGACTCACGTTCATTGGCACAATTGTACTTTCACTGCCGTGACAATCTTCCTTTGACTCACAACTGCATAGATTATATCAGGCGTCTAATTTTTATCACCTTTGACCTTGAAAGAGGCTTGCCTGCAAAGGCCCATTCTCGGCCTCTAGTCGTGGTTTAATCGCCTGGGTGGTGAAGCTTGAGCTAGACCAGCATCAAGATCCTCTTGAGTGGTTGGTAAACCGATTCTCCTCAGCTGCGATGGTGGCTAGGGCTCTATCGTGTCGCAGCCCAAGTTTCCCCGGGTGCATGACGTTTGGATCATGAGCATCTCAACGATGACCTATGATGCAGTCGTGCAGGAGAGTCTCCCATCCTTTGACACAGGGAATGAAAACATTAAAGCTTCACAATGGAGATCCGGCACGTCTTCCATCTTTGACCTTGAGCATCAACAAGGGTGCAACAGCCTTCTTATCAATTGAAAGCAGACACAACAGACAATATTGTTCACAACTCTACAGATCCATATCGATCTAGCTCAAATACCCTTCCATAACATCGTTGCTAACAACTTCCCCAAAAGGGGCTTTCCAAGTCACTTAACTGTGATCACCACAATCCCTCAGTAATGGTCTACTGGCCCCAAGAACTCTCTCGCGCCACAGCCAGGAGCTTCAACACCCATGTCTATACTCCCCCTAGCGCTGCTAGACCATCTGTGGCCGACTGGTGGATTTGCTGTGCCTGTGGCTCGGAGAACAACCCTGCATTGAGCTCCGGCCGATGCACAGTTTTGTAACCACGCAGCTTGTCATTCCTGTCAACAAGCATAGCCGTGCTCAGTATGGGGTCAATCCACGGTTTTGCTCTACATGGCTTGACGATACACTCATCCATCCGCATAGGAATGTGATCCTCCTACACCCCTCACCTCTGATCACATCCTCCATGGCATGTACAATGCGTCTCCAACCTCAAATTCTACTTCTGCTACACAGGTGGCATTCATGTATTATCGCAACTTTCTCTGGGGATGTCTTCCTCTTTAGCATTTATACGTTCTGGCCTTGTCATTTCATTTTCAATTATATACATGTCTTTCATAGACTTCAGCGATTGAATTTCGAGTGTTCTCGTTGGAGCAGACCCTTAGACAAGCCGCGACACGACTCTCGTCGCGTCTCCATCTTAACCTTTTCGAGCGCACCCACAAGTAGAAGCTGACATTTATAGCAGTCAAGATACAGGCAGATGCTGCCCGCAAGCAAGCCCACCAAGTTATCTAGTTCTGAGATAGTTGCACCCACATCCCATGCATGCACGTATTGCTCCAAGGCAGCCAGCCCATCTGAACGGCCAAACCCAGCTCCACCAGGGCAGACTGCGCACTTTCCGTCGGCGGTGTCAGGGGAGATGAGAACGACTACTAGTATGTGTCATTTAGAAGATTTCTGCTTGTGCTCCAGTTAAGTTGGTGGGGGCTCTGGAGGGAATGTACTGGAGGCGGGTATCTCGACGACAATGTCGGGTATATATATCTCGGCAAGTGGGGGCCGAATTCTAAGACGGAAATTGGGTATGCTTCATCACACAACACGACCCCGACGGTACTCCTCATGCAGTACTAGTATTAATTCAATTAGCCCGAGTAGAAGTAGAATCGAGAGCTCTCTATACACATGACAAAAAGACCGGTGCGCCTGATCACCAAGTTGGACATGACAAGGTCTAACCTGAAAGAAAAGAAAAAATAGAGAAGGAAAGAGTCCCAGCCGCAGGCTGAGCTTCAGATCAACGTAATCAAAATCGATAGTTTTATGGGACCAAGCCAGTCTCTCGCGCTTAGCGTTCTACAAGCTCAGGTACGTTTAAGGACGAGTCTCATCCAAAGCTGGCTTCTCAAGCCCAGCCTCTCGCTTCAGGCGCGACACCACAGGTCCAAATTCAAAGAAGCTGTCGGAGTCCTTACGGACGGCGCATGGACTCTGCTTGAGTGGCACAAACCAGTCGATGATGTTGTAGCCAAGCACCTGCTGGAGGTTCTTGAAGGGGCTTCCGAGGTCGAATGGGTTCTCTCCGGGTAGGGTTTGGAGGATTGCGAAGATGTGTTGTTCCCCAGGCGGCTGATAGTTCTTCTGGGTCTCAGGAGTGAGGGGCATCGGGGGTAAGGGGTACGTGATGGTGCGGAAGGTCGGGGCCCAGCGAGAGTCGGGATTGAGTCGACCGAGCAGATGGTTCGGCACGCGAATGGCCAGAGTCCACACAGCCGACCGACGATTGATGTTTTCGATCGTCGTCAGGTTCAGCATGGCGAGTTGCATAGAGCTGAGGGTCATTCCAAAAGTGAAGAGTCCAAAGAAACCGCTCCTAAATGATGATGTCAGTACAGTTGAGGGGTATGAAGAGGGAGGCGAGGTGAAGACTCACAATCCAATTCCAACAGCCAGATGAGGATTCGCACCGCCAGTCTGTTCAGAAAAAACAGTTTAGTGGAGAATTCCGTTGAAGCTACATCGCAACCATACCTGGCGTTTGATCTCGGCAGTAAACACCGCACAAACAACTAAGCAAAAAATGCAATAGAGCGCAGTGTAGAACACGAATTGAATGAAGAATTTGAAGGACGTCTCAGAAACCACTCCTCCGACCCTGCAAGCTGAGTTAGTACTACCACATAGACAAGGCATATCTGGGAGAAATCCTCACCATGGGCAGAAATGATCCATCTTGCGAACACACCGGTCGACCTCCCGACAATGGTGAGTCCGATCAGGCTTGAAATGACAACATGTGGAGCAGTATAAAGGTCGGCCATCCGGCTGGCAAACAAAAACGTCTTTGGTGTAAAAGGTCTCCATCCCATGTGTATCCCAGGGAGTCATGCCCCCATCAGCGGTCGAGTCGGCCCCACTCTCCACATCTCTGTCCATCGCATTAGCCTTTTCCGCACTTGTATGCCGTCGATGTCTCTTCTTCTTTCGATGATGGCGACCTGATGACTGGGGTGGTGCAGGCTCAGCCTCTGCGGGCGGAGGAGCTTTTCGCGGCAGTAGCCCGGCATTCCAGGTCACAGTATGCAAGAGTCGCATGTATGTTGTCAGAACGAGCAGGAGAAGGATGTAGTAGACCACGAGGATGGCGATTCCCGCGCCAGTGCGACTGTCGCGGTCATACTTGGAAAGGGGATGGATCAGATAGTCGACTATAGGAACGCTTAGTAAACCAGTTCAGCCAACGAATTCTCGTCTGAAAGAACTCACTGCATAAGGGCTTGGTGATTGCGTAGGATGCATATATAAAGACACATAGTAAGAATGGAGGGATGGCCCTGGCGACCGCTAGATTGATGCGCCTGTCAGGCCGCGCCATTGGAAGTTAACCGCGAGACGGGTTGCAGGCACCTCCGCATCGGAGAATTGTCGGGGTCGGCAGGGGTCGCTCTAGCCTGCAAATGTATCCATATTCTTGAGTCTAGACAGGCAATAAGTATGTACAGTCGGGACCCGAGTAGAAGAGATAAAAGGCAATCGCCCTGGCGGTGCCTGATGAACGAGGATGGATGGGCACGGGGGGGGAGAGATTGGGGATTGGGGATCTTGATTCCGACCAAGCACGTGGTTTGCAAACTAGGCAAACATGGCTCATGATGTCATGTCACATGACAGGGCTTATCGCTCGAGTAACTTGATAGATGCTCCATTCCAACTTCCCCCTCCTTAGACTACATAGCGTATTACTTTTGATTCATTTTTCTCACGGTGAAAATTGCTGCGCTATACAGGTCTCACACTATAGAATGGTTTCAGTGACTGACAATGAACTTTGGCCCCAATCTCCCGCTCAATGCATGACGATATCATAAACCGGGATGTGAGTTATGACCTCGAGGCTCAAGCCGGCAACCCCGGAATCGCTCATTTGTTTGTCGAGCGTGAGACACACGTGTCTAGTGCGGCTCAACTAGTGATTGTCCTAGATCGGTACTAAGATCCGTCCTCTCGGCCACAAGCTATCCGCGCACTGGTCAAAGGCTTCATTTTTTTTTTTTTTTTTGCCTGCCCAAACCAAACTAAATCCCTCTCCTCGTGGATTGTCTTAAACTGTGGAGACGTTTCATCCATGTGGTAGCCTATGTATGTGAAAGCCATAATTGTATCCTTTAAGAGCTGGAAGTGGGGGGAGTGAGTAACGATAGTCGTAATGGAACTCTGGGGACGCTGAGATCCTGCTTTCGCAAGCCCCGTTGAAGTTGCCAGCTATGACGCGCAGAGGAAAGCGGTTTGCCAGGGGTCACACGGAATCACCTCCACGGCATACCGGTGATATGACTATGAGTAATAGTGACAAGTAGAGCTGAATTCTGAAGTAAGGCTGCCAGAACCAGCCGGGGCAATGAGAACATCCAGTAGGCAGAGGTCGAATGAGAAGCGATCATTACAACTGGGCTTTCGAGCCGTGAAGAAGAGAATTGGGGCGAATCGGTTTCAAGGCACACCAGACACGAGGGGCTATAGAGGCCAAGCGTCATGATCAAAGTCGGGGACTCCGAACAATACTAGTTAGTAGTAGTAACGACTGAGAGTCAAGGGGAGGGACAAAGGACAAAGGTCCGATGGGAAACGGATCGAAACATTAGCAATAATGCAGCGTGGAGAAAATGGAGAAAATGAAAGTGAGTAATGAGCGCGAGCGAGCGATCAGTCATCGCGATGGTTACCAAACGTCATTTGCAAAAGCGCATGTGCCACACGACGGGCGTTGATGGCTTAGGCAGAACTAGTACGGGTGCCTGCTTATTCGTAGAAAGCCCGGCGTTCGTTGACCGACAGAATCGTCACGAGCAAGCAGAAGACTCCTCCTAAAACCCAGGGAGATAGACGGTAAGAGTCAGAGCTTCGCATTGCATCTAGAACTCGATCTCTGGGCAAGGTTGCCTGAATCCACGGGCACGGGATGACCACCAAGTGGAGCTCGTTCCCAGGCCTCAGCCAGGCAGCACAGCACAGCACGCGATTATCAAAATGATATTCCAGCCAAGAATGGATGAGTAACGAGGATGTCGTGAGTAGGTTCGGCTGCGGGAAGAGGAAAGGAGAAGAATAAGCAAGCCAATTTGAAATCAAAATAATAATCAATTTTCAAAATAAAAATAAAATGGAAGATAATGAAAGGAGAGTGAGTGAGTGAGTGAGTGAGTGCAAGTAAATTGAGCCTTGAGTATTAAGTGGGTTTCCTCAGGGGGAAAAAACGAGAAAACAGTTAGTCGTCAGTTAGTTAGTAGGAACGGATAATTAGTTTACTACTTACTACTCACTACCAGACAGAGAGACAGCCTGGAGGACGGGCGGAGTGGACGGGCAACCGAAAACGAGCCTCCATTTTCCAAGCCTCGCTCGCCGGGATTCCGCTACTGCGATGATACCCGGTGGACCCTTGCGAAATGTCGATTTGACTCAACTGGCGCGCATATCTTACGATGTGCCCATGCAAGCTATTCCAGAATGATTCAAACTGACAGCACTCGACAGCTGATAGTTCAAACCGCCAAATGGTCCCGGCTTTTCCCTCCCAATCCACCTGGCACTGCTGCAAGCCTGCAACCCACCCAAACCCCTTCCTTCCCCCCATTCCCATTCCCCCCAAAAGCAATGGAGATTTGCCAAGCCACCTTGACGATGATCGACTCTGAAATGGCCCCGGGCTCTGATCAGGTATAGCACCTGCTTATGACAGAGATGAAGACAAGCCTAGTTCTCAAGGGCGCCTTTTTGTTTTTTTGTTTTGTGCAATCAGCCACAATGGCAGCTCAGGACGCCTTGTCTGAATCATCGCTAGCGTCGTCGCTCTTTCACTTTCTCACTTGTTGTAACATCCTAAGATCGCTTAAATACAGCGGCACAGTCCTCAGGATGGACTTCATCTCTATTTCCTACACACAATACATCCTACAGAATCGTTGACACTTGCAACTCATCCGCTGTCATCGCCTCCCTGCTTCTATACAAGCTTGACTTCAACCACAACTACCTACCACCATCAACATACCTACTATCATCAATTTAGTCACCTATCAAGCTTCTCATTCAATCATGCCTGGTTTCTGGACTTGCTGTACCTGCCTTCACGGCCTTCACCAGATCGATATTCATACAGAGTGCCTGCAGTGCGGCCACCAACGCTGCCCCAGCTGCCCTGTCGACAACCGCGACGCCGATATGTCGTTGCACAGTTGCCACGAGATGTCGCCGTACCCTTCTACTCCAGCACACTCAGCCTGCGCACACTCGCTAGACGCTCCCAGGCACAGACACGTGCCGTCGATGATGGACTGCCGAAACCCGATCCCTCAGCCACTATCAGTCTTCGGTGACGTACGGCGTCCCTTCCTGCAGGACCTGGCCGGCCAGCGACTTCCAGAGGATCGGGCGCAGACGCGGGGGAACCTGTACTTCTGCTGCCAGTGTGGCGATGGGCCAAAACTGTATCAGAACCAGCCCCGTTGTGTGATGTGCCAGCACGTTGCCTGCTCCAATTGCACGCCGGTGAAATAGATCTACGACTACGTTGTGATGTTGAAGGTAAGGCCGACCCGGAGCGTTCTCCACAAGCTCGGTGGTCAGAGAGCTAGTCATCCGCAGAACTCAAGAGAGGCTATGCTATCTGTGTCTCAAGGCCAAATTATTATTATTTTCTAATTTCTGACGTCGTTTTGAGCGTTTCTCATCATGAGTTGCATGAAACATGAAACAGACATGACCAGGAGTCACGGGCCGTTTGCATTTTGCGATTTTTTCTTTTTCCTTTTCGATGTTAAACTGATCTTGCATGAGCGGGTGCATATACCACGATACATTTTCTACTGTCAGCTTTGGGCCTTTTTTTGTTTTCTTTTTCTGTCTTTTTTCTTGGTTGAACTTTCGTTTCTGCGCGACTGTACTAAATATACGGCTTAGACTGGGGCGGCTGCCGAATTGAGCAAGCGGGCCTTGCTCGATCGTGCAGCCGCGAGGAACGCCTTGGTTTACGGATGGTGGATTTGTGGGGGTTTAGATTTTTTTTTGTTCTGTTTGTTTAAATTGACGATCTCCTTCTCTCCTCTGTTCTATGAGTTCTATGATTATTGTTATGGAGTGGTATTTCTCCTTTCTATTACTCAGACTAGATTTTTTCGGGCCGCAGCAATGTAACACCTCTATCTTTTTTATCATCGGTTGATTTCTAGTAAATCAATAGTTGACTTAGTGAGTTGACTACTATATCTTAGTTATGCTTTTTAGGGTACGAGGTACCCGTGGGTCCCGCATTTCTGGCAGGCAGAGAACAGACAGACGCCTTGTTGCCTGGCGTAGGAGGGGACTGGATGGAACTAGGGTTTCGGGTCCTGCCCGTATGTTGTTGTCGACAAGTTGCTGTCTAAACTTACTCCGTAGTCAGCAGCTTCGGTCATCAGTGTAGGAGTATACTGTCTCGTCCTCCTGGCGTGAATTTTGTCAGAGAGACTAACTAATTTAGACTTGCCGGGCCCGGGTCAGGTCACGGGCCATGACGACAAGTGACATGGGTATATCAATGGAAGATGATGTTGTTGTATGTAAGCTTCCTTTTTCGCAGGTTTGTAAGCCTAGGAGCGTTTCCGCCATGCGAAAAAAAACCCGCTTAACTAATGTGTCGTATCTAACATTTGTCAGGTTCGTTCACCCCCAGTCACTAACAAAACTAAGCACCCGGGATCCCGACACTTGGTGTAATGTGTATCGATCCAAGCAAAAATAATTATAGTAGCAGCAACTATGCTCATCTCACACACACAGCCCTGGAAGATAGTGTGCGAAAGAAAAACCCGAAGCCAGGGGAACACAGAAACTTGGGGCTGACTGCATTGCACACTGTCCTGCACTGTCCTGCACTGCACTATGCTGCGAAGATGGTTCCGCACGTGTTGGAGATCTCTTTTTTTGTTGTGTTGTGTACAAAAATCAAATTGGGACTAAACTTTTCCATCTGGGCTATGCGGATCGATGCAGTGGATGATGGGGGACGAACCCCGTATTCCAGACTTTTTTAGATAATGGGCGTTTTACGCAAAACCGTTTGCCTACCATTTTTTTTTCTCTATATCATTTTCTCCTCGTGCATGTGCCATCTTAGAATGGCATGGTGTAGCTTTTCCCCATCTTTTTTTTTATTGAATTTTCTCGCCGAGCCGCAAAAAGTCTTGGTGCGGAAATCTTCCGCTATGACTGGCTACCCTTCAAGGTCGGGGAAGCGAAAGAGGTATAGATTAGATGAGGCCGGGGTTGGGGGGCCTGAGGCTTAGGAAAAATGGAAAGGGGATGGGAGTTACGGGCAAGGAAGAGGGGGGGGGAGGTGGTGGCATGGATGGGAATGCAGATCATGCAGCCACAACCTCGATGACCGTCAATCCGGGATACTAGATAACTTACCAGGTAGTCTAGTAAGCAAACACCAACAAAGTCCCACCGCCCTTTCTCTCGGTATCCGTATGCAATTAACCCTATGGTTGGGGGAAAACTGGCGGTCTCGCGTCTGTCTGGCTGTGGCCGCAGGATTTTCTTGAGTGGTTCAGCTCGCGAGGACTGGCTGCAGTAGTGTGTAGTTTGAGCGTGGTCGAATACGGATGGGGGAAAGTGTAAGCACAGGAACTTAAGAGAGAGAAGCATGACAGGTGCCTCGAGTTTGGCTTCCAAGCATTCCAAAGGAGTCATGGGCGGCAGGGCTGAGTAGAACTTTAGGTTTGGTGGATAAAAAAAAGTGGACCATCGTCATTGGGTTTGGAGGGGGGGATTCGATTTTCTCCGACCTCGACGCGGTCGCACTGCTAACTTTTTCTGGTAATCTCTTCTTTCCATATCTGAAGTTCAGCTTTCGAGAATCAATAGATGAACAGAGAATCTAATAGACAGACAGCCTTAGGGGACAGAACTGGTTGTGTACTAAAGCCCGCAATGTCGGGTTGCCATTGGCCCATTCGCGTAGATGGTCCCCGCTATTCAGCTCGCTGGGAACTCCGGAGTATGGACATAGAGTAAACTTGGACACATGGTTACTCTGCGTTTGGGGCCGTCTCTCTCTCAATCTTTTCCTGGTGGTATCTTTGGACCCTCTCTCGTTGCTCCGGTTCAATCGATCCAGATCAGTGTACAGCCTTTGGCCCAGCCCGAACACGGGTCAAACGGTGTGTCTCGGACTCGGAGAGAAAAGCCACATGGTGTGATCTTGATATGATTAGGCTTAACGCTCCTTTCCACGTTTTTCTTTCTTCATGGCTCACCCATTCCCGAGGGGGCCAAAAATCTTCTCAACGCTCACATCCACAGAGTCACACACACACACACCTTCTAGTGGGTTTCAGAGTCTTCTCTTGCCTGCGGTGATCACTGCCTGCATGTACGACCTCCAATATCCCCGAACTGGTAAGCAATGCGGTTCCGAGCCCGCGACTATATTCTGACCTGTGTAAGACGTCTGACCTCCCACCTTTCTTGTCGTTTCTGCAACTCAACGCTTCTCCGGCATCCTATTTGTGTTCCTTACTCGATGATATCGACAAGCGATCCGCCACTAAGCCTGATCCAGTCTGACGGACTGTTGCTATGTTTATATTTCTCCCTTTAACCGCTGCGCCAAGCTAAATATTCCCTGCCCACCACGTTGCACGCGAACAGCAAGGCACAGGAAGTCTTTTTCTGGAACTGCGTGGTCAAGTCTCCTGTCAGCACTACTGACTCCCTCCGGGCACACCTTTCGGGATGGATACTGAGAAGGAGAAAGAGGAGTGCAGAGAGAGGTAGAGTGTGCAATACTGACTCCCATTATCCCCGAGTACTACCAATCTGCATCATCATGAAGTATGGCTTAGCCCTTTAGAGCAGAAGAAGTTGAACAGTTACCCCACCACTGGACTGGAGTCGTTTGGGGGCCGCCGGTACGGTACTTGATACGCAGGTTCCGCGGAGAGGATAGTTTCAGCTGCGGTATACCTCGACCACATGTAGTGCCTGTTTTCCCGCCCACCCGCCCGCCCGCCATGCGATGCTCTACTAGTAACGTTACTGTCCTCAGTACTTCGTCATGGCGCTGCATTTCTCCACATTGAGATATCACCAATTTCAGATGATCGCTGATCATGTCGTGTCACTTCACACAGTTCCATGCGGTTTCCAATTGTCTTCCTTTACTGCCCCCATTCTTTACGAGCTTCTATTCTCGTGGTTACTGTCATTGTTGTTGAGGTTATACAGAACGCTCATAGTCCTTCGTAGTCACTGTCTAGTCAACATCTACACTATCTTTGCGATCAATCACAAAAGATGAACCCAAGCTCAACCACCATCCCAACCATGTCTCGCTTTTTTTTTTTTTTCTTCTTCTACATTTCCCTTCATACAGACACCTCTCCCTCTCCCTTCTTGCCTAACACCACAACCCTCCCACTTTCTTTTTCCTACACCTTATTTATTTATATCTAAGACAAAAACCACATCAAGCATCGTCACATGCCTCAAGCTCAAGCCCCAGCATACACCTGCATCCATTCATACCAAACACAACCAACCAGAACCCCAAACCAGCAAAAGAGAATGACGACAATAACAACAAAAAAAACATACGCAAGCAACGCTTCATCTTGCCTGCGTGCCTGAGTCACAAACCCCCAGGTCACAAGATCACAGATGACTCAACCAGTGCATAAGCGACCCATCACTACGGAGGAGTTCACTCTTCTCCTGTTCAATTACAGGTTCTGTGCACTCAACTGACTTGAGTCAACTTTAGTGCAAACGCAACGCGGCTAGCTAGCGTGGATGGATACCTGGGTTATTATGTTTGTGGTAGGTTTCAAAAACACTGCCACAATTTCTTTGTCGTTCCCCCCCTCCCCCCCTCTCCCCTGCCTTAATAGTGCACTTAACTTGGATTAAGAGGGTCTAGTATACAAAATGTTGAACATCAGTTCCGGGACCGGACCGTGGGTGCGGGTGAGGGGTGAGGGTTTTTTTTCTTTGGGTTGTCTGGACTGGATGGGATTTCCCATGTAATGCGCCCGACAGCTGGAGTTGACTCGACTACTAGGTAGGTACTCGGCACTCCGCGTAGTTAGTTACTGGATGTAGTAAGGTACTCGGTCATCATGCCCTCGGGGATCCCGAAATAGAGTCCACCTCCAAGTACGTATACCTCTGAATTTCAGAAGGGTTAGGGTACTGCACGGTCGCGTGTGGTGTGCCTTGCAGAGACGGGGCAAGGGGAAGAAGAAAGAAGCCCGGGGCACCCAAGGGCGCCGCGCCGCGCCGTGCCCGGGATGCGCGGGCTGCTACTCTACTGCTGCTCCTGGCTGTGTGTCTGGGCTCCACGAGGCACTGCGGCACTTACTCGCTGGGCGTCTTGTCTTTGCGGAGACTCGTTAGGCCAGGTGTAGAGAAAGGCTAGTCTACTGCGGACAGCACCTAACCCCCTAGTATGCCCGGGTGGTTGCAGCAGGGTGGATGCCTCCTTTTTCGACGCCAAGGTGCAATGTCGTAGTCTACCGCTACACTACTTGGACTTGGCTAAGTGCTAATGAACTTGTCGCTAGACGCCCGAGCGGACGCTCCACGCGAAGGCGGCTGTGTCGCTTGTTAGTCTGCTTGACTGCTTGGATCTAGGTGGGACTGACGGACCTGACGTAGTTTGCGTGCATTCCTTGGTTGGCGAACTAGCATCAGGCTCTGGAGAGGGGGATCGCTTGGGAAGCTCCTTCTGAGACAAGGCAGAGTGGAATACATGCTAAGGTACGATTCGAGATGGTGGGTGGGTGGTCTTGCCCGAAAGAAAAGTATCAAAAACTTCAATAAGAACTATGTATGTACTGTACTGGACTGTACTGTACTTCTTTCCTATGAACCCTGCTGTCTGCACAGCCCTATGACATCGGACTGTCGTGGATCGTCAATGTAGATAGGATCGCATCCCGTACCATTGGAAAACCTGGTCAACTACTGGCGTTGCCATCACTCTCGCTAAGTCAGACCCTAAGTCTCCAGGCTTGCTGTCGTGTCGTAACGTGGGAAAAGTTGCTTTACGCCCACTTCGGTTAAGAGGCAAAGACAAGGTGAAGAGAAAATGATTCCGTCCAACGCCGGGCTCGTGCTTTTATATGCCAAATAGCAAAGAGGAAAAAAAAAGTAGATAAGATAACAGCGTGATGCCCCTGGTAGTCGCTCTTGCTCAATAAGAGATGCCAGACCTCAAACGTTCAAAAAGAGGAAAGCCGGGGTTGCTTGTCCTTGGTGAAGATGGTGGTGGAGGTGATGGAGAAGGGAAATAAGGGGAAAGGCTTTCAGGTATAGCTCAATGCTGGGACAGCAAGCGGCAGATATCTACCTGCACAGCTCCTGAGTGCATGAATGCATCGCACCTCACCTTGTTCAAAGAATGAGTAATCTTGGCTGTTGCATGTTCCATGTCGGGGGTTACAATGGCAAGATCCGCGAAGGGTCTTGGAGGAAGCGTCTACGGTATGCGGCTATTTCCGCAGCCACGGTGCTAAAGTCTTTCACCTTGTCGCGTCGCATGTCGTTGATGATCTGCTTCAGTCCGGCAATGTATTCATCTTTCTCTTCGGGGGTTTTGCCCTCGCGGAGAGAGCCCATTTGGACCAGGATTTTGTCATCTGTCGAGGTTAACAAGCCTGTGTGTCAGCATCCGCACAATGCAAATCCGACCAACAGATCGAGTCACGATAGGGGATCAAGGGACAGAGAACAACAGCAGGAGAGTTGTGGTGAAAGGGAAAGGGGTCATGGGAAGATTGACACAAATAACCAGAGCCAGAGATGGCAAAGTCAATGTTCAGATCATCAAGGGATAAGTCTGCGAATAATGGTTTGAATCTGTCGACGCACCGCTAAGAGACATGTCTCGGAAGTGTTGAAATTCGCAGGATCGATCGTTGCAGACACCCCCCGCAGCCTCAAATGGACACAGGTATTTCATGGGGTCAATGTTGTGACTATATGTCAGAGAACGATAGCCATGCGTAACATTTTCAACGTAGCTTGGGTGGTAGCGGTAAGCCTTGAAATGCTTTAGTGGACTATCGTATTGGGTGAATGTGGTCAGGCTGTCATAGGAATCCCGCTCATTCTACTACTCATTAGCTTTATATTATTGGCGGTGACTGAGGAGCCTCGCACATCCAAAGGGCTGATTCGAGCAAAACTGCGTGGTTGGTGAACAGCCAAGCCCTGGTCATTTTCAGTTAGCGGCTCGCTAGCCTTAGTAACCTCGTTCGATGGAGATTCAGAATCGTCGGTAGGCTCAACAGGAGCAGGAGAAGCAGGACTAAAAGGGGGTGAATAAGCGGAACCGGCTGGGCTTGCAGTCAATTCTGGCTCTGGAGGCTCATAGGCATCCGATACAGACGATTCACGAGATCCTCGGCCCTTTACTTCAGGTGCTGATTCCTCCATATTTTCATCGGACATGATATTGGCCTGGGATTCGGCATTAGTGAGTTGCGATTGCTTTAGCGAGGGGTCATCCGATTCCGACTCGGCCGGGGTTGCCTGCTCAATCTCTGGCGCCTGGTCGTCATTGGCCTCAGGTTCCGCAGTGGCTGGCGCAGAGCTTCGGGCTACTGATTCTTCCGACGCGACCGACGCGGAATCGTCGCTTTCGCTATCGCTATCGCTGGATTCGTCCATCGACGAACTCATCGAATCAGACGACGAAGTAGCCATTTGCTCTTCGTCAGCATCATCCATGACAGTATCTTTCTCATGTTCCGCATTAGATACTGCAACGTCCGAAGTAGATGCATAGTCTCTAGAAGGTACAGCTTCGTAATGCACGGGCACTTGGGCACTTGTTGGCTCGGGAACCTGATCTATGATAGGTCGAGGAGGCAATTCATGGGTAGTTGCTAAGCACGGTTCAATTAGTGGGCTACATTCGCCATGACAAAATCTTCAATGTCACAATAAACGAAAGATACAAGGAGGACTTACCAGGGAGTTCTGAGTTTGCGGGTTCTTCAGTCTGCGTTTGACGGAGAGCTAACTCGATGTCATCAAGCGTCACGCCCTGCAACTCCTGGCCAAGAGCTTCTAATTCAAGTAAAAGCTGCTGGCGACCTTCTTTTCCCTTGGTGATTTGAGATAAAAGAGAGTTCTGCTCCTGATTCACCTCGGCCAGCCTTGCCTCGGACTTATTTATTTCGTGATCCAGGGCAGGGATACCAGACTCAATATCCTGCTTCCGCAAGAGCTTGGCTCTCATCTCTTCTAGTTTAAGAGCATCTCTAGGAAGTGAAGATATTTGGTCCACGAGCTGGGAGGTAGCCTCGTCAAGATTGGGCACCTGAGTTGCATTGGTGTTCTCAAGGATGGCGACATCAGCCGTCACTGAATCAACAGTGGGCGGTGGCAAGTCCAGAGCACGAGGGGACTGGGTGCGACTCGCTGCTAGCTTCGCCTTTTTCCGTTCCTCAAGTTCGGCAATCCGACGGTGCATCGCCTTGATTTCCAAATCCTTGCGGCGAAGATGCTCCTGGTGCTCCTGATCGTGATTCCGTCCATTAGGAGTGACCGACGTAGAGAAACCCTGACTGAGTGATGTTGCTGGGCGCTGAGGTAATGAATCTGTGGTCATCGGAGTACTCCGAAGAAGTCTCTCGACGTCCTGCGACACGTTTCCTGCTAGCATATCAACGTCCATGCTATCATTCTCGTCATCCCCATAAAACTCATCGTCGCTGATGTCGATGATAAGCCTCGCAGGTTCAGCAACGACATGGCTTGACCCGTTCCCGAATGACTTCTTAGGCATAGGAATGGGTTCATCGAAGTCAGAAGCTCGCGGTCTCTTGCGTTGATTGGTGCGTGTTTGGGTATCTGTATTGGCAACATGCTGAACAGGCGCAGCACTCGACTCTTCCGTGATTACAGGTTCCTGGGTCTCAGTCATGAAAAGCCCTGGAATACGGGATTGGGGTGAAAATTCCGGGTCCGGCGGGCGCTCAGGCAAAGGGTGCTGAATTGGAGTCAAGTTCGCGGCCTGTGGGGTATCTGGATTATTGCTGTTGTGCTCTTCATTTGGCTCAGATGGCGTAGAATCTGGCTGCGATTTCTGCAAAGTCCTCATTAACCCTTGTTTCTTGAGTTGTTCAATTCTTTGTCTGGCGAGTTCGGTTTGTGCTTTATTCTTCTCCTTAACGCGCGCTTCTTTCTCTAGCGTCGGAGCGTCGCGCGAGGGAAGTATCGTCATTTTGCCGGTATCAAGAACGTTCGAGCTCGGAGGAGGTATGGTTTCTTTCGTAGCTTCGGTCTGTGACGGCGTGGATGTGGAGGTCTTGGCCGCCTTCGCAGCAAGCATACGGGCAATGACTTCCTTCCGCTCCATTGGTTTGCCTGCTACAGCCTGCTGTGTAGATGGGGGAGGTGAGACAACAACATCCATAGGGTCTTGCTGCGCAGCAGCCTCCGGAGAAGTCGCAACCTTGGTTACTGTTTGATCTAGCCCGTGCCCTGCAGTACGACCACTTTTGGAGGAGGTTGAAACGGGTGATTTTGAATCGACATCAGGTTGCGGAGTAGGAATTTTGATGCCAACGTCCTCGTAAAGTTGACGAAGAACAAGGGGGTCAATGCCTTCTCTCACCAATTCATGGTATCGAATATTGTGAGGAGCTAAACTCAGAAGAGCCCCTTGGGCCTGAACGCGCAACTGAGCCGTGGGCTTCGCGTCGAACCATAGTCGGTCTGGAAGATCGTTCTTCGCTGGGTCGTATGTGTTGTCGCTGAGTAATTTTGACGCAGCGGCAATATCGAAGCCAATAGTGTTCGGACAGGGAGATTCAGCACGTATTGTAAGAGCAGGGTTATAAGCTGCTAGAATGTAAGCAAGATAGATCAAAGAGATGAAGGGTAGGTGACATACGAGAGCCGCTGCTCCGAGATGACGAAAGATCTTCCAATGGGCTCTCGGTACTTGTTACGTTCAATGCTCCCTTCTGAGTATCTCTAGAGGATATGGGTACGGAAGAACTTGCGGTGTCTAGGACGTTGGCGCCAGGTAGGTTTCGAGAATAGGCGCGCATGCTGCTCACTTCTCCATTCACTTTCAGGTGTTCTTGCATATCTTTTAGCGGTCGTGACGATGCAGCAGCTGTTTCGGATCCCTTTGGTTGGGACGGTAGGTCATCTCCATCAGTAAGCTCGCCTTCTTCACGATCCAGGTCCATGTTGGAGTTGGATGTGCTCGAAACTTGTGAATCCGCTGGAGTCGAGATCTCTTGACCAAGGCGGGGCTGTGGACCACTCGGTGTATAGCCGGATTGGTGCATAGCAGGGGCGGAAGGCGCTGGAATAGAGGGATATCTCAGAGGCGGCATTTGAATCGGAGGAAATGGCGGGGGTGGGAATGGAGAAGAGGTGAACGGGGCCATGAAGCCGAATAGCGGCGGCGGTATTTGTCCATGCGCGCCCGGGCCTCCGAGCCCCGGCAGATGTGAGTTGGCCATATGGCTATCTTGATTACCAGGAAGCGCAGCTCCTTCGGAGTGGGATGGTGGAACGGGAGTCTGGTTGTGAATATAGGGAAAATGATGATGAGGAAGTAAGGAAGGCATGGATGAGGAGGGGGTCGGGTTTGACGGAGGCCACTGATGTGGTGTATGATTTGGTCCCGCGAAGGAGGGTGTCGGAGGGTAGTTTGACATGGTTAGAGGGCGAATGGACAGTTAAGCATGCAAAAGGTGACTGGAGGTATCTTCTGGACTGAGTAAGTAAAAGAGCAGCTTTCAAAAGTCTACAGCGTAGGTTTCAGGTATCGCACATCGGATGGAGGGAGGTGGGTGGGACTAAAGTAATAATCACCGCCGAGTCATGAAAGGAGGAAAGAAAAGTCGCGTCGGGGAGAGAACCTGCAGCGCACTTTGGCTATAACATGAAGGCATCTATGCCATATGCGGAGTAAGCACGTATCCTTACTTGATTAGTGAAGATAACGCGACTACCGAGTGAAGCCGAGTGATGCAAAAGGGAGAAGAGTAGATGAAAGACAGGTAGTAGGTAAGTTTAGCGTATGTGTAACGGAAGGGGAGGTTGAGTCTCGCTCCAGACCTTCAGAGTTCAGACTCTCCCGAAAAAGATCTCGGGTCACGTGGTGTGACGGATGCACAACCGATGCGGACTAGCAGCCGATCTGCACCCGCGGGAACGAGGAACGAGGGACATAAACAAACAGACGGAGAGGTGGAGCTGGTCAGTCAGTCAGTGACGAAGCTGGCTGGTGGTGACGCTCCAAGTCTACCTAACTTACTACCTTACACACTCCACTCCTTGTTTCTCTCGATCTAATCTTACATTTCCCTTTCCCATTTCTCCCACTCCCACCTTTTCAATTTCAAGGTTCCCACCCTGTCTCCCCTCTTCTGCTTCCCTTCTTCCAATTCGGCCTGCATGCTTGGCTAAGAGGCTACTAGACAGCTCTTTCCTTGGGCTTTCCTCGTCACCATATCGTCCTGTTGCTATTGTTATGATTACACGACCCTCTTGTTGAATAATGTTTCATTGTTGAATTAACTACGACATGCTTCCCTCTCAATCCAATGGCTCTCCCAAACGAGTCAATCCTTTCAGTCGCGCCACGCCATCGCCGTCTTCCTCTCCCAACCAGCAGGCAAGAGGGCTGCGCCCCAAGTCTGCTGTCGTTACATCGCCCAGTAAATTCCAAGAGGCACGAGGGCATTTCCGAAATGCTTCGTCGGTCTCGCAAGCATCTACTTCTCTAGTACCTCGACCTGGACTTCGCCAGAGATCGGGCTCGTTGAGGAATGATGCTGCGTCTGGGACCTTTGCGCCGGAGTTCATAAAGACAGAAGAGCTCCGGCGCGGAGCTGATCAGATCCGGGGTCTGGAAGGCGACAATGACTTCTCGGGGAACAAATATGTCTGGCTACGTGACCCTGAGAAGGCATTCGTACGGGGACTGGTGCTGGAGGAAGATGAAGGTGGTCGGCTGCTAGTTCAGACCGACGATGGAGAGGTATTTTTGCTTTGTATGATGGGCCCGAGACGCATTAGCTGACTTTCACAGCAACGAGAGGTCGAAGTCGACCAAGTGGACAAGGTCAACCCGGCGAAGTTCGACAAGGCTGATGATATGGCCGAATTGACGCATCTAAATGAGGCCTCGGTGGTCCACAACCTGCATACTCGATACCAAGCCGATCTCATATATGTGAGTAGCTGAATGCGATCTCGAATCCCATGCTTGTTTGAGCTAACTTGCCATTTGCTAGACATATTCGGGTCTATTCCTTGTTACCATCAACCCATACTGTCCTCTGCCAATTTACTCCAACGAATATGTCAAGATGTACAAAGGACGAAATCGAGATGAAAACCGCCCCCACATATTTGCTATGGCGGACGAAGCATTTCGTAATTTGGTTGAGGAAGGAGAGAACCAGAGCATTCTGGTCACGTAAGTTCAATTCCAATGATGGTCAGGGAACCTGGTTGGAATTAGAGCTGACGACGATATCAAGAGGAGAGTCAGGCGCAGGTAAGACTGAGAACACCAAGAAGGTTATCCAGTATCTTGCAGCCGTTGCGACTACGGATACGCCCTACGCTCGGTCAGGAAATAAGCACTTGTCGACATTGTCACAGCAAATTCTTCGCGCGAATCCGATTCTCGAAGCATTTGGTAACGCGCAAACTGTTCGGAATAACAACTCCTCTCGTTTCGGCAAGTTCATCAGGATTGAATTCTCTCGAGCTGGCCAGATATCAGGCGCGTCCATTAATTGGTACCTCCTTGAGAAGTCTCGCGTTGTGAAACCAAATGCAAACGAGAGAAACTACCACATATTTTACCAGCTTCTGAAAGGTGCAGACCAGAAGTTGAAAGAATCGCTGCTCTTGTCGGACTTGCAGATCCAGGATTTCGCGTACACCAGAGATGGTAACGAGACGATTGCAGGGGTCTCCGATGAGGAGGAGTGGAATCTGTTGGTTGAAGCGTTCCACGTAATGAACTTTTCAGATGAGGATCAGATGTGCATCTTGCGCACGATCGCCGCCGTTCTTCACTTAGGGAACGTGACAATTGTGAAGGCAAGCTTGCGGGCCGATCAAGCTGCCCTGGCCCCCGACTCATTGAACAGTATAGAAAGGGCCTGTCATTTGCTTGGCATCGCACCGGAGCCTTTCGTCAAAGGGTTGCTACATCCGAGAGTTAAGGCGGGACGTGAGTGGGTGGAGAAGGTTCAAACTCCGGAGCAGGTCCGGCTTGCTCTTGATGCCCTGGCTAAGGGTATCTACGAGCGTGGTTTTGGTAACCTTGTTGACCGCATCAACGGCCAACTCGACCGTAGCACGGTCACCGCTGATGACAGTTACTTCATTGGTGTTCTTGATATTGCTGGTTTCGAGATTTTCGAGAACAACAGTTTCGAACAACTGTGTATCAATTACACCAATGAGAAACTTCAACAGTTCTTCAACCACCATATGTTCGTCCTAGAGCAGGAGGAATACGCAAGAGAGCAGATCGAGTGGCAATTCATTGACTTCGGGAAAGACCTGCAGCCAACAATCGACTTGATTGAGTTGACCAACCCCATCGGCATCTTCTCTTGCTTGGATGAAGACTGCGTCATGCCAAAGGCCACTGACAAAACCTTCACCGAAAAGCTACACTCGCTTTGGGATCGCAAATCTGCCAAGTATCGTGCCTCCCGTCTGAGCCAGGGATTTGTGCTCACACACTACGCGGCTGAGGTGGAATACGACACTGATGGCTGGCTCGAGAAGAACAAGGACCCGCTTAACGACAACATAACTCGTCTCCTCGCTCACTCGAACGAACCGCATGTTGCGAACCTCTTCTCTGATTGTGGTGACCTTGACGATGATAGCGATTACCCAAAAAGTCGTGTGAAGAAGGGACTTTTCCGCACTGTTGCCCAGCGACACAAGGAGCAATTGGCCAAGTTGATGCAGCAACTGAACTCTACTCATCCCCACTTCGTCCGATGCATCATTCCCAACCACAAAAAGCGTCCTAAAATGCTGAATGCTCCTCTTGTCCTCGATCAGTTGCGGTGCAACGGTGTACTTGAGGGCATCAGAATTGCGCGCACCGGCTTCCCTAACAGACTAACCTTTGCCGAGTTTCGTCAACGCTATGAGGTGCTCTGCCAGAAGATGCCGAAGGGCTACCTGGATGGTCAGAATGCCGCTCACATGATGCTACAGAAGCTTGAGATGGACCCTACATGGTACCGAGTCGGTCGCACAAAAGTCTTCTTCCGAGCTGGTGTGTTGGCTGAATTGGAAGAGAAACGAGACCAGCTTATCCGTACCATCATGACTCGCTTTCAGTCAGTTGCTCGAGGCTTTGTGCAACGGCGAATCTCAAACAAACGTCTTTACCGAGCCGAGGCCACCCGAATCATCCAGCAGAACTTCCGAGTCTATCTGGATATGAAGGCTAATCCCTGGTGGAGATTGTTCTCAAGGATGAAGCCTCTGCTGGGTGAGACACGGACGGCCAGCGAAGTCAAGAAGCGAGATGAGAAGATTAAGGAGTTGGAACTGAAGATGAACCAGGATCTGGCGAACCGGCACAAGCTCGAGGAGGAAAGGCGACGGACAGAGATCGAAATCCAGAAAATTCAACAAACTCTGGAGAGTGAACGCGCTCTGGCTCTCGATAAGGAGGAGATCTTCAAGAGACTTCAGCTTCGGGAGGTGGAACTAAGTGAGAAGCTGGCCGGTGCCATAGCCGATCAGGAGAGTCTCGAGGATCAACTGGATGACCTCATCGCAGCGAAGAAAAAGACAGACGACGAGCTCGAGCTGCGGATTACCCAACTTGAACAAGCGGGCGAAATCATCCAGCGTTTCGAGAACGAGAAGCGGGAGATGCAGGCTCGGCTTGAAGAGATTGAAGGCGAGTTGGCCGAGGCGACAAGAAGCTCTTCAGAAAAAGACGTCCAAGTCCAGGAATTGGGCCAAGAAATCAAAATGCTTCAGAGCCATCTCAGCCTCAAAGAACGCAAGCTTCAAGATCTGGAGGCGAAACTGCTGAAGACAGATCAAGACCTGGAGATCAAACATGCAAAGACCTCAAAGGAACTGGATCAGTCCAAGAAACACATTAAGGAGCTCGTAGAAGAAAATCGCACTATCCGACAGCAGATATCCGACCTGTCGTCAACTTCAACGGGGTATGAAGAGATGCTTCGTCGGAAAGAGAGCGAGATGACAGTGCTTCGTAACGATGCGAAGAAGCACGAGGATGAGAAGCGCCAGTTAGAATCGGAGAAGGCTACGCTTTCAACCCGCCATGATAATATGCAACGACGACTGCGCGAGCTTCAAGCTGAAAGTGACGCTATGGTGTCCGAGAAGATCCAACTTGAGCGTGAAGCGGCTGACGTCAAGAAGCTGTTAGAGGAGAAGATCTCCGAAGACGCCGAAGCCGGTGAGAGTCGGAAACTTCTTGAACAGCAGATCCAGGAGCTTAAGGCACAACTGTTCAAGGCCCAGGCTGATCTGAGCCGGGAAAGACAATCTCGGGATGATGTCCAAATGCTCGCCGAGCACAACCTGGCAGAATTGAAGGACAAGTACACCGCCCTCAATGAATCAAAAATCATCATCGAGAAAGAGATGTACATCCAGCAAGACACTCTGCGTCGCGCCACTGAGGCCCGCGTGGCTGCTGAAGAGTCGCGGAAGGAGCTGCAGGCTGAGCTGATCCAGCTTAGGGACCGCTTTACCAAGGTCGAAACTGCTCGATTGGATGCGGAAGCTGACATTGAGCGCAACATCATGAAGCAGGCTACCGAACGTCTGCAGAGTGTCCAGAAAGACCTTGATACTCGGTCTCACCAATTAGAGGAGCTCGAGGCTGAAAGATCCCGACTTGCCGTCAGAGAACAAGAGCTGATGAATGCAATTGCTGAGTCTGACAACTTCCGCATTCGTCATGACCAAGCCAAGGAACGTCTCGAACGAGAATTGGTAACCTTGAAGGGCAGACTCACAGCGTCTGAGAATGATAATCGTGCCCTCCTTACCAAGATTCAGCAAAAGAATCTTGACATAGCCAGGTCAACCTCAAGAGCAAGTGACAACCAACGGCTTCGTATCACCAACCTTCAAAAGGAGAAGGCTAAGTTGGAAGAAGACAATAAGAAGCTTACCCGTCAGCTTGGTGACCTTCACGTCTCAATCACCTCCCTGGAGAAACAGAAGGAAAAGCTTTCTCTCAGCTTGGAGGACCTGAATCACGAAGTCAACAGAGAGCACAAAGCCAGCCGTAACGCTGAGAAGGCCGCGTCTACAGCAGGAATTCAGCTCGCGGAAGCCAACAGAAACCTGGAGACGGAAAGACAACTCCGCACACAGGCACAGACCAACACGCGTCAACTTCAGAACTCTCTTGATGGTGCAAATAAGGAGATCGAAGATTTGCATCGTCAGCTGATGCTGCTGCACAAGGTCGTGGAACCCGAGGCGGATCCTTCTAATTCAACGTGGGAGAAGGTACAGCCTGACCTCTCCAAAAAGATCGACCTAGCCCAATTACTTGAAGCCACCAGGAGCAGGCTGCAGGTAACCGAGGAGAAATATAGCAGGGCTGAGAGTCAATTGGCGGAAATGCGCCGTCGTCATGGCGATGAGATGAAGGAGCTCGATGCGCGATATGCGTCCTCGAAACGGGCATTACTCGAGGAGATCGACCAGAACCAGGTTGCCGGAAATCATACACCAACTCATCTCCGAAAGAACTCCGATAACATTGCAAAGAAGTTTGGCACCCCCACGACTCCCAACCGGAAACTAAATTTCAACGAAATGGCAGACTCCGCTCGCTCCGATAGGACCGTGGACACCGTAGGCTACCAGAAGCGGATGGACATGGCGGCAGAAATCGAGGAGCTTCAAAACAAGCTTCAAATAAGCGAAATGCAAAACAAGCATCTCCAGAATCAGCTTGCTCAAGCATCCCCAGCCCGCGATATTTGGCAAGATGACTCTGTACGCCGAATGCAGTTGCTTGAGCGTGAAAATGGCCGTCTGCATGAGCAGCTTGATGATTCAACAAGGAAGCTCTCTGCAATGGAGAAGAGCATCCATACAGGAGAGCTCTCGCTCCGAGACATCCAAGCCAAGTCCCACGAAGAGCTCTACGATCTGATCAACTCACAAGAGCAGTCGAGGAGAGCATTGCTTCAGGTACATAAGGAAACCATGGCGGAGTTCGGTGACTCCAAGGCTCAACTGGAGAAACTCAAGCGTGCCAAGGCCACTTTGGAGGTAGAGCTACGTGACACCCGCTCCGAGTTCCAAGAGGTGCAAGATGCACGGGATCAGGATGCCATTAGCCGAAATCAACTTCTCGAAGAGTTCTCTGATCTTCAAATCCGGCTTGATGCGGAGACCTCAAAGTCCGCTGATCTTGCGTCGAGTTTGAGTCTCTACAAGTCCCGAGCGGATGAATATTTCAACAAGCTTGAGCAGGCAGAGATCACTGTCCTCAAGGCCACTCGGGCTGAGCAGTTTGCCAAGACCCAAGCCCAAGAGGCCGAGGATACTTGCGCTCAGATCATGGCCGAGCGGAAACAGATGGACGCTCTCGTCGAAGACCTGCAACGCCAAACACAATCTCTCGAGGCGCGAATGGAGGATCAGGCGGCAGAGCTACAAGCTGCCCTTCAGGCTAAGCAGCGTCTCCAAAACGAGCTTGAGGATTACAGAAATCAGCGTGCCATTGACATTGAGGACAAAGAAACCTCTATGGAGCAGACCAGACAGAAGTATCAGCGTGAATTCTCAACCCTCAACAACGAGCTTGAGATGGAGCGTGAGAAGGTGCTGAATGTTCGCGGTGAAAATGCCCGCCTGCGCGAGGAGCTCGAAGATCTCCGCAGTAAGTGGGACAACGAGGTTCTGAACAGCTCAACCTGGGCGAAGGAGAAGGCCCGCATGGACATTATGCTTCAGGATGTGACGACCTCTCGTGATGAGGCGGTATCTGCGCACAACGAGGCTCAGAGCAAGGTCGTGTCATTGCTATCACAAGTCCGAACCCTGCGTACTTCGGTTGATGACGTGACCGCAGAGCGCGACATGCTACTTACAGAGAAGAAAACTCTGGAAACGCGCTTGGCTGAAGCCGGTGCAAGACTGGAAGACCTCGTCAAGGGAGAGAGTCCCTCCATGCGCAATGCCGCAAGCATGGACCGTGAATTACTAGAGCTGAAGTCCAAACTTGCTCAACAAGAAGATGTTTCCGCTGCTGCTGTCGGCAAGATGCGGCGCGCGGAGGCTCTGGTGATGGAAATGCAAAAGGAAGTTACTGCTGAGCGAGAGAATAATGCCCAACTCTTCAAAGACAAGGCTGCTCTCGAGAAGCAATTGAAGGAATCGCAGCTGCGTTGCGTCGACTTGGAAACCAAGAGCTACTCTTCTGGCAGCCAGGACGTACGCTTCCTGCATAAAAGAATCAAGGAGGTAGGTCTTTCCCTTCCGCATACAGGGGTACGACCCTTTGAATCACTAACCAATCCCGATAAATAGCTGGAAACACACCTTGAGGAGCAGGAGTCCAAGCAAAGTTCTGAACAACGCTCATTGCGTAACGTTGACCGAACAGTGAAGGATCTCCAGTCCCAGATTGAGCGACGTGATAAGATGAATGCACAGCTGAACGATGACGTCACCAAGACACGCGCAAAGATCGACCGACTCCTGCGCGACATCGAGGAGCTGCAGCAAAGTGAATCCGAGGCACAGCTTCAGGCGCGCCGAGCGGAACGAGAACTACGGGAAGAGCGAGAGAAGCTACTCCGGGTGGAGCGTGAACTGGAGGGCTGGAGGGGGCTCCGCGTTGAACGGGGCAGCGCAATCGGACGGATCGGCGCATGGAGTGATGCTGGAAGCAGACGGGGCAGCAGCGTGTACAACTCCGGCGACATACCACAACGGATGCCCAGCAACACGAAAGGCTTCTTGTAAGACTATGACGACCTGGCAGAATGACTCTACTACACATCTGCCTCTTAACTAATTCGAGACTCGGGCGCTAAATCTTCATCCAGGGCCTGAGCGACAACTTACGAACATGACTTGATTGAAGCCCAGCATGGCTACGGAGTGTGATTGGATTTTGCGGCGTTTGGATTTGGTTTCACATGGTATTTGAATGATGTGTCTGCGCACTTTGTTGATCTTCATAGGAACCGCTATGCAGGTCCCTGATGCAATTTTTGATGACTTCTGATGGGAACCTACCTATCGCATGATTGTATACTTGAACGACTGCTTTTATATTCCTTCAGGCAGACCGCAGTAATTGAATATGGCTTCCTCAATGAAGGAACTTTGAACTAAATCGATACTATTCAATGGTGTCCCGTGACAACAGACAGGCTGGAGACGCTGCATATTGTTTACAACTTTACATATGTTCTTGGACATCTGCAGTACATTTGCTTTAGCCCACGGATATATGCGGTGCGGGTACTGTACTAGTTGCCAGTGGCCGCCACTACCGCTGTAACTTAGTGACGTCGTTCTTGAGTTTCAGTATATAGAAGCCCATTAAGGATTTTGAGTTAAAGATCTTTCAACTAGCTTGACCATGCCTGGACCACGCAGAACGTCAGCTTATGCCAGCTAGAAATTAAGATCAAGGCAACGTGGTGCTGCGAGCCGACGGAGCTCTCTTAGCCGCGCGGCTAGACTTGGCGCTCGCTTGGAGTGGCGGCGGGCGAATCCACTGCAGCTTGGGACGTTAAGTCTCCAAGCCTCTCTGCTTCTGCACCTCAACCTCTCTGTCTCGAGCGCCCACCTCGAACGGGATCCGCCCGCGTCGCTTTTCAAGATGGTAAGTTCTCGATGGAGGAATTATCTTCCCACCTGCTTTCGTGCGAGACAGGCCCTTCTACTGCATAGCATCCCCCGCCGAACCAAACAAGCTCTTCATTGCCCACCCAACCCACCTTAACCTGCTCCAATTCCCGCCACAGTTGGCTCTTGCTGCATTGGAAGAAAATGGCCACTACAATCTTACCTATCCCCCCAAACCGATGATCCGATGGACTGATCCATCCCGTTTTCTGCATTAGGCGCGTAACAGCGAAAAAGCTCAGTCGATGCTCTTCCGGTTCCGGGCCCAACAGGCCGCGGACCTCGGAATCATCGACATCGGCCGCACCCGCCGGCCCAAGGCGATCACCTCGGTCGACTCGATCCCCATGTGCGAGAAATGGCGCGGGCAGGTGCTCAAGGAGATCTCGCGGAAGGTGTCGCGCATTCAGGAGCCCAGCCTGAGCGACTACCAGATCCGCGACCTGAACGACGAGATCAACAAGCTGATGCGGGAGAAGTGGACGTGGGAGATGCAGATCCGCAACCTGGGCGGGCCCAACTACATGCGGGGGTCCGGCCGCGTGTTCGACGACGACGGTCGCGAGATCCCCGGCGGCGGCAAAGGGTACCGGTACTTCGGACGGGCCAGGGAGCTGCCCGGCGTGAAGGAGATGTTCGAGGCTGCGGCCCGCCGCGGTCGGCCCGCCGAGGAGGACGATGCGGAGACCGTCAAGGGGGGTCGGGGCGGGGACATCGCGACGAAGAAGGTCGATGCAAATTATTTCGGGTACGGGCTGGATGAGGAGGATGGATCGCTGCTGGCGTATGAGAGGCAGAAGGAGAAGGAGGCCGTGGAGCGCCTGCGCAAGAAGGGTGACGATGGTGACGATGGTTGGGAGCCGCTGCCGGGCGATGCTGGGGACGGGGTCGAGTGGAGGCTGCCCAGTCTGGAGGAGGTGCAGGAGGAGCTGGTCGACCGGAGAAGGAGACGGCTGCTGGATAAGATCTCCTGAGGGGATGGGGGTTGGGATTTGGAATCTGTGTGCTCTGGAGTTTGTGGCTTATATTTTCTGTTCATTTCTGATGGCATCTTGGGTCTTCTCGGGGTGTTTCTCTTTTACTGTCATATTTTGTTTCTATGGCGTTCTGGTTCCTTTTTCACCCATATGCTGTGCTCTCTCGCCGCTACTTACCTATCCTTGCTTGACTTTTGTTATTTTCATACGCGGTGCTGCCCTCCCCCCGCTGGCAGGTTTACGATGCATCCTAAGGGAGGCAAAAGCATATTGATGATACCAACATGATTCGTTCTTTTGTACAACAGGTGGTTGCGAGCTATATTAGTCTATGTGCAAGATGTGATTATTTACAACTTGGGTTGCTTCCGTGACAACTTGTCAGCCTTCAGCGCCTGCGTCCGACTGATGATGGGCTCCCGCTCTCTGCCTTCCAACAGCCGTTGCTCCTCGGCCTGCAGGTCATCGAGGATGAACTTGCCCATATCCCCAGCGCGCCATTTCTGGATGAAATGTAGGGCTGCAAGCTCCGTGTTGGGGATCCCGCCCTTGGCCAGCAGGCCTGTCTGGCGGGCGAAGTCATTCAGGAGTGGCATGATCTCATTTGTGGGAGATGACCATCGCTGGTATACTTGAGCATCGTTGAGGTTGATATGGTACAGTAGATAGTCGGCCAGCGTGACGGGCGCGATGACCGAGTCCTTGACACAGCCGCAGAGTGCCAATTTCAGCATGTTCTCCGCATCCGGCACGTACGGCATGAAGACGCCCGGCGTGTCCAGGACGTAGACATGGGAGCCATTCTCGCGTTCGATGATCTTCACGGGCGAAGCGATCTTTCGCGTGATACCCGGCTGGCCTCCCGTCCGTACGGCCTTGGCCTTTCCCACACCCTGATTGCGCAGGTTATTGATCAACGTCGACTTGCCCACGTTGGGCATACCGACTACCATCACTCGAGTGCCGACGAGTCTCTCAGGAATCCCCGAATCGTCACGCAGGTGTTTCAGGATGGTGCCGACGTCCACCCGAGACGATGAGCTGACGAAGAGCGAATCCCCGTTCTTGTTGAAGGTCCGGATGGTTTTCTCCGCCTGGAGATTTGACACATTGAATCAGTCATTTGGCACACGCATACAAGGAGTAGTCTGAGAAAGAGCAATTGTAGGCTAAGTCACCAACCTTCTTTTGCGCAGCCGATCCAGATTCTGCACCAAGATCTCTCTTGGTATATACAACCAGTCGTCTCGTTTTCCCCAGCGCTTCCTCGAACATGGGGTTCATGGAGGTGACTGGCACTCGGTAGTCCCGGCACTCGATGACATAGTCGATAGACGAGAGCATATTTTGCATCTTCCTCAAGCCCGCCCTGTGGTGGCCCAGGAAGTACGACCGGGGGATCGACGCATAGTTGGGGAACACCTGGCGCGGAACAAATGTGGCGGCCATTATCGTATGTCCATTAAGGTGTGGATGCTGAGTTGTTCGCTACGTAAGTTCACATAAAGATTGATCTTGCTCATGATCAGAAAGACATGAGTGAGGTCAAAGTATGGATGGACTGAATTGCGATGCTTGTTTCCAAATGTTTTCTTCGAAGAGCGGCAATTTCGTTCGGAGAGAGGGGCGGTAGACGGGCGGTGTGAGTGGGTATAGTCACGATTTCCATAACGGGATATCTTCAGCCGACTTCGCGATGCGAGAGACAAACTACTCATGGTTTGTTCTACTCATGGCTGGCATCCAGGAGGAGCTCATTCTTGTTATGTGGCACATGCTATCTGATATACACCTAAATAAGCCATTCGTGAAATCGTCAGGATCGGTTCATATGAGTTGAAGTACTCTTGGTACATGGTTGGTTGTCTGGACGGGTCTGGACCGACCACTGCTCCTCGCCGCAGAACAGATGCAAATATCAATCCTGACCGAGTCGAAGGCTAGACCAGGATTTCGAGCAGGAATGCGCCAAAATTAGAACCGTGGTGCAAGCACATTCTGGTACCGTCTATCGTCCACGACTATTTATCGCGGGGATATGATACGTCATCTACCAAGCCCGGCCAAGGCGGGCAACAACCTGAACCATATTATTTCCCCCACAATCGCATCTCATCGTGGACCCCCTCCACAGACTTCTACCTCAGGGTAATTGATCACACAATGACTCTGATCTCTGCCTTTCGTCCACCATCTACTCGGGTCTCGTCTTTGCGACTGAGGTCCCGCAAGCAGCGGGGATCGCCCAAGCGTAGTCCTCGTCAGCGCAGCCGCGAACTGCGACGGGAACGGGGCGAGGATGAGGAAGATGATAGCCACGATGAAGATGCGCACTCCATAATCACCCCGTCTAAACATACTCCCAAAGCGATTCGGGTCTTGCGTGGCTCCGTGGCTACTGGTGGTCCTCTGCGTCCCTTTCGTTTAGTCAAACAAGATATTTTGAACCTGCGTCGGCGATATGTCTCGGATTGGAAGATCTTCAACCAGCTGATATTCGCCAGTGCCGTCTATGTTTTCTTCACTAATCTTCTCCCGGGGATCACCTTTGCCAGCGACCTCTACGTCTTGACTGGCCAGCATTGGGGAACGATTGAGGTGGTGTTCAGTACTGGGCTATGTAGCATAATCTTCTCTTTGTGCGTCTATACACACCGTTGCCTACCTGGGGCGCAGGCTTACAGATGTTCATAGATTTTCCATCCAGCCCTTGACTATCCTTGGGGTCACTGGGCCCTTTTCAGTACTTGCAGAGAATATTTACAAACTCTGCGATGAGGTCTTCAAGGTGCGCAGCACACTAGCGCAAGAGTGAAATCTAGGACTAATGGCATTCTTACAGATACCTTTCTTGCCTTTCATGGCCTGGTCACTAATACATGCTGGCTGGCTACACTATGTCCTGGCTATCATAAATGCCCATGATTGGACAATGCGATATGTCACAACATTCGCCACGGAGATATTCTCCCTCCTCAATAGCATTATCTACTTCCACAAGGCAATCCAGGAGCTGGAACGAGCCCATAACAGTCTCTCCTTCGCAGCTTTTCTGTACGCCGTCATTGGTGCCGTTGGGACAATGCTCTTGGCAATCTTTCTGTCGACTGCAGAGAGCTGGCGTCCCTTGTTTCACCGATACATCCGCATGGGCCTGACCGAGTATGCCGCTGCAATCTCCATAATTGTCTTCATCGGACTTCCCCACATCGGCGAATTGGCTCATCTGGATAAGATGACGCTCCCCGTCAGCACCTCCTTCAAGCCCACCTCTCCAGATCGCAGCCAATTCTTCGTCGAATTCTGGCACCTACCCGTGACATGGGTCTTCGCCGCCATCCTCCCTGGGGTCATCATCACCATCCTCTTTTTCTTTGACCACGAAGTCAGTTCTATCATCTGCACCATCGACCGCTATGGGACCCGCAAGCCCGGCGGCTTCGCGTGGGACATCATCCTCCTGGGTACCACCACAGCTCTCTGTGGGATCTTGGGAATTCCACCAGCCAATGGCCTCCTCCCGCAAGCGCCTCTCCATTCCGAATCTCTTATGCATACCGAAAAGGAGCAGCGCACCATCCTCGTCGACGGCGAGGAGAAGACCGAGACCTACGAGGTGAAACGCGTCTACGAGCAGCGCTGGTCATCCTTTCTCCACGCAGCCGCCATCCTCCTCTTCGTCAGCCCTCCCTTCATGAAAGTCCTTGGTTTGACCCCCACCAGCGTTCTAGCCGGTCTTTTCATGTTCATGGGCGAGCAAAGTCTTTCCGTGAAGTAAGTCTACACCAACTTCCTGGGACCGACCCCCAGTGAACCCACTAATCCTGACCAAATAGCCCAATCCTCTACCGAACATTCTACCTCCTCACCCCACCCTCCGAACTTCCCCCGCTCCCCGCCTCCCTCGCCACAACCCCCTCCAACCAAACAAGCAATAACTCGGAACCAACCACCCAAGAAGAAGATTCGGAAAAAACTCCCTCCTACATCCCCATCCACCTCTACACCCTCCTCCAAATCATCATCACCGTCGCCATCTTCATCCTTACGCTCACGCGCGGCGCCCCCGCCTTCCCCGTACTGATCGTCCTGCTCGTCCCCTTTCGCCTCCTGATCATGAACCGGTGGTGGCCCCGCGAGGTCCTTCGCTTCGTGGACGCGTGGGCATGCAAGGAGGGGACGCCGGAGGACGACGAAGACGCCGAGACCGAAGCGCAAGCGCAAGCGGAGAGGAAGGGCGGGGCCCCGGGACAAGAGTCTTCGGGACCTGATAATGACGAAATCATCATACCTGCTGGGACTGAGGCGGGCCAGGGGTCCTCCGGGGTGAGTTCCGATAGTGGCGGTCTATTTGTGGGGAGTCGGTATGCCAAGGATGGCGGGGATCTGGGGAGTCGGTCGCACTTGAAGGAAGAGTTTGAGGAATTGGATCCGAGGGAGCTCGATGGAGAAGGAAGGGAGTGGCTTGAGCTTGAGGGGTGGGGGCGGCGGCCGGATGAGGAGGAGGGAAAGGGGCGGAGACGGGGTTGATGAGTTGAGTAGGGTTTTCTGGATATTATAAGGGTAGATTGAGGATTGATGTTACGTGTTACGATGATAGATCGCCTATGCGGGTTGCTTTTACGGTCACGAGGTTCTACGAAGTCATGTTGGAAACATAGCAAGAAGAGCGATGTCGAGGTGAATAGACTTGTGTCTATCTATTATGATTATAATTCCATGGGGACCGGCAGTATTCTTGCCTCTCGATGATAATTGTGCAAAAGCGGAATTGAACATAGGGTATCGGGCGCCCGTTGTTTCATGTCTATGTAGAGGCATTTGACGAATCGGGAAGGTAAGTAATAGAATAAGAAATATATGCGCCCGTCCGTCCCATCTGGAGAGCGCCTAACTCCTACATGCCTATTCTAAGAGTCCCGCAGAATGACAACACATTTGTAAAAAAGGAAAATCGCTACAGATAGATTCCATCAAAATGACCAGACAAAGGGGGACCGAATCAAGCCCTCCACCCTTGCACAAACTCATGCAACCGATCAATGACCACCCCGAAGATGGCGTTCACGCTGTCCCCGATGAGCTGCTCGAAGTGCCGGATGGCCTCTTCCTCGGTCATCTCGAGGTGGAAGCGCTCCTTGACCTTGAGGACGGCCTTGTCGGGCTCGACGCGGATGTCCGGGATGTTGGCGTCGACCATCAGACTGAACAGGTTGAGGATCAGGTTGGCGGACTTGCGCAGCGTGGTGTAGGCGGTGAAGCAGTACTGCTTGAATTGGAGGTACAAGGGGGAGGTGGTGCCGCCCATGCCCTCGACCATCTCCTTGCAGAGCTTCATCATCGGAGCGAACGGTTTGGGGTCGCGGCCGAGGATGAAGCCGAAGTCGGCGTGGAAGAAGTGGCCGTCCGGGGTGAGGAGCAGGTTCTCCAGGTGGCGGTCGCCGACGCCGAGGAGGTAGGTGATCACGCAGTACCCGGCGCAGGACTTGATGTAGGTGTCCATGGTCTCCTTGCGGACGCCGAGGGGCTCGGTGTCATCCGGATTGTTCTCCTTCAGGTAGGCGAGCACGGATTTGTATTTGGCTGAGATGGCTGATAGGGAGGCCGAGGGGATGAACTGTACGGCGCCCGCGGTGGCGTTGGTGGCTAGGATGCGGTAGGGCGTGAGTTTGAGGTCGAGGTTCTCTTTTTGGAGGAGGCGGTCCATGAGGATGATGATCTGGATGACCAGTTGGTCTTGTCGGAGGTCGTCGCCGACCTTGAACAATATAGGGTATTTGCGGCCGTCCGCGGTCTTGAAGACAATCTGGAGCGGCGAGAGGGAGGATTTGAAGACGTTGGCTTCGTCCGGGTGGCAGCCCGTCACCATAATCTCTGGGTCTAGCGGCAGTGGCAATGGTGGGTCGATCTGGAGCAGTTCGTGCTTCGGGTCTTTGAGGAATTTCTTTAGCTTCTCGATTTTGAGGATACGGTTATCGCGGGAGAAGCGGACGTCTTTCGCGATCTTGGTGAGTATGACCACGAGCTCGCCCTGCCGTAGCAGTGTCTTGCGATGCTCTGGTTGTATCTGCTCTAATTCGGTCATGAAGTAGTATTCCACCCTCGCGAAAAGTCTGCGTTGCGTGGACAATGTACCCGGCCCAGTGTCGTCGCATTCGACCATCAGGTACCAGTGTAGATAGCTGCCTAGTTTGAAGTTGTTTGCGGCACGCGTGACGAGGAAGTTGGCTAGCGACGAATCATGAGCAGGGTCCCCGGCGGCGCCCTCGGGGTTTTCTTCGTATTTGAGTGCCTGCACGAGTTGCAGCAGGTAGAGCAGCAATTCCTCGTCGTCAGATTTGCGGAGTCTCTCTACGGCATATGAACGAACCGCGGCGTTGTCAAAAGTTGGCCCCAGTAGCTCGAGTGCGTCGTCCACGTCGATTTCCGTCCATTTGGGCAGGATCTCCACCGCCTGATGCGCTTCACCGACGTCACGCCAGTTAACAGACTTCACAAACTTCGTGAGTGCCCTCTTCTCGCGCGTCAGATAGTATCTAAAACGCCATACAAGATCTTTCTCCTCTGCCGTCAAATCTTGAGTGGGCTCGTATGATAGAATCACATTGAGTTCATCGCGAATCTTGGGGTTTGGCTTCAAATCCCGATCCATAATGCCCGTGCGGGTGCTCCGAATCAGTCTTCGGTGCTTGTCCTCGCATGGGTTTCCTGTCTGCCCGACTTCGGGGTCGTATATCCTGATCACACCACTGCCGTCAGCACCCTCAATTCCGGGGCCGAATCGGACCTCTGGAAGGGGCTTGAGCGGAGTATTCGTGTTCATGGGCGCATTCTGGGGATAGGTCGAAATTGGCGGCGCCGGGTACTCATGATCAGCCCAAACGATGGGATGGTCGAATCGGGGAAATTCGACATAGAGGGTGAAATTCTCATCGTCCACCTTATCTTCATCGGAATCGTCGCCATCGTCTATCCGGCCGTCGGAGCTTCTGTGTTTAATGGCCTTCATGCGTATGGCCCGTTTCCTCGCAGCCTCTTCGGCATTGAGCTTCAGTCTCTCCAGTTGTCGGAAGACCATCTGGTCCATCCAATCGATCCGCGGCAGCTCCCCCATCTCATGCTTCTTGATCAGCACCTCGACTCTTTCTAACTCCATTTCTTCCAGCGACGGACCCAGTGTGTCAGGAGCGTTCGCTTTCCGACGTTTGGGTGGTGGAGTCGATGGGGTGGTAGTCGAAGAGAACCCATCGGCAGCTCGATGCCGGTATATCTTGCATTTCTGCCTGCCCATCTTCAACTTCCCGTCCGCGTCGAAGAGTGAAATTGTTGTTCCACCGAAGGGTACGTAATGGCCATGGGCCCCCTCGCCGCCAAACGGTGATAGGTCCCAGACCGTGATGGCTAGCTGACTCTTCAAAGGAGCATCCTTAATTGAGACGGGCATTTGCAGCCATTCGTTCCATGACCTAGCGGATTTAAATGCCTTGTATGGGGTCTGTAAGGGTACTCCTAGCGGTTTGGATTCGGACCATAATTGCACGGTGACGAATAAATCAGAGTGAGGGTTTTGCGCGGAGCCAAGGTGACGGAGATCTGGCCGTTGGAGGAGGACGGAGAACGGGGTTTCCTTCTGCTTTCCTTCTAGAGAGCCACTTGGGGTTGGATCTTATTAGCGGATTACAGCAGCCAGGTATCAGACAGGCAGTGCCCACTTACACCTTGACGTGGATGGGAAAGTCCACCTGGGTGGAGACGGCGAAGGTAAAAGCCTCCATCCTGAGGTTCGAATTCTCAGCAGCCAGACGATCTCGAGTCAGTTCACCCGCCAGCAATCTTCATTGTGAGCTTGTCACTATCTCACGATGATGGTGAATGGTGCTGTATGCGGCAACTTATCGGGGGTTGGAGGTTGAGTTGTTGGACAGTTGGAGACATCCATGATTCCCGCAGCTCCGACCAGATGGGGCGATGATAGGCTGGAACGGCCCACAGTTGGTTGTGGGCTGCCGGGAGTGACGCGGGGGTCACATGATTAACGCGCTCGGCGCGTGCACCACAACGGATTAGTTTAGATAAGGCACATCCGGGGAGATTAACATATCGAGATGAGAATATTTGCATCGAGGAGTTTATCGAAGCCCAAATAATTGACTCTACACGAAAGGTGGTGCTACGATCTCCCCTGGCGCCAACTGAAACCCAGACAACCTCAGTCCTTTGTTTTTCTCAGTTCCTGCGCCCTGATTCTCCCTCCCACCAACGACTCAGCAGGCTGTTTGGCGGCTGTTCGCGTTTCTTTGTCTTCCCCTCAGCGCGCTTCGTTTGTCGTATACCTTCTGCCCTCCAAGAGATGGCACGACGTCCCTCTCACACCCGACCCTCGACTCAGGCAGTTCCACCTGAGCCATCCTCCGATAAGGAAAACCATCCAATATCAGCCGGTAACAGCAAGCGTGTTCAAATCCAAGCCATGCCCAGCAGCGCCTCGAGGAAACGACAACGGCTGTCCACGCGGGGCACCAACTCACAGGGAAGCCAGTCTCAAGGATCACGATCACAGCCAGCCCGTGATAAGGACTATTATGACCCGGATCAAGATGAAGCCGAACGACGGAGAATCAGAAAGGGCCTGAGAGACCTGACGCGGGACCTCAACGGTGGGCGACCCCTCCATCGTCAATGTGGAATTGCTTTTTCTCTAACTTTCCCCCCGCTGCAGACTCCCGCAGTGAGTTTATGCAGGCTGGAAACAGCGGTATCAAGTCCACGATAGAAAAGGCCAACGAGTTGTTTCAGGGCGTCAAGCAAACCTCGGATGCAACCATCGACTCTCGGCTATTGGTCAGCGCGGCGGACCTAGGATACAAGAAGACGGCACAATTAGTTTTGGGCGACGCCAGTGCAGGCATTGACGTCGACGAATTTGTCTCCAAGTGTATCACTTTCATGCGCCAGGCCCCCGCAGACTCCCAAAGCACCGTCCCCAGTAGTACACAACGTCGTCGCGCTGCTCGACCAGCAGATGATGATGACGGTGAAGATAATGGAGATGCCTTGAACTGGGACTGGCTTGGACGGGCTGCGTCCTTCTGCAGCAACGCGCGGCCGCCGGTACCTGGGTTCCTCCTGGGCCCGCTCTCGGTGCAAAAACGGACCCGTCAGCAGGCCATTAGGAGGGTTAGGGAACGTATCGACCCCAGTCGGGCGGTCGCACCGCAGGATCTTCAAGATAAAGACCTTGACCGGCAAGAGACGTCTAATCTAACTACAATGTGTGGCAGTATCAACGGTCTACTGGCGAAGACACAAAACCATGGCCAAGATACCGTCGAAAGACAGCTGTCGGCGCTCCAAGCGGAGCCTTCCGATGAGCAGCTGCAGAAAGTGATGGCGGAGAACAATGTAGCTGATGATGGTGGTGTCCCGCTGTTTCGCTTCTGCATCAACCCAAGGTCTTTTGGACAGAGCGTGGAGAACCTGTTCTACGTGAGTTTCCTGGTTCGTGATGGCTTGGTCGGTATCTCGGTGGA